GGCCCCAAGCTGCGTTGAGGGCTCTGTCTCCTGACCACACCAGACAAATTGTCTGTTGACAGAAAAGCAGACAGGAGCCAGGGGTTCCTGGTTCACTTACAAAGCACGTGTTGCATTTTGATCTCCCAGGAAATTAATTCAGTTCAGAGCAGCCCAGCTATCTGTAAATATTAGTAAGGTATTTTCTTATCAGAGAAAAGTCACCAGGCTTTTCTTTTCCCCAGCAACACCTCTGCAAGATTACTTTCACTATGCCTTTCATCAATTCATGGTTTGGGAAAAAGGAGGGTTATCTCTAAAACCTTTCCTTAAGGTCTTTTCTTCAATAAACTCAAAGCCCCATATTACAACAAGTAAACTCCATGTAGGCAGCACAGCAGCAACAGCACAGCCAAGCTCAAGGGAAATCAAGTGGAATAAATATCTGGGCAGTGCCAAAATGGAGCTGCAGGACGGGATCACCACGTCCCAGGGAAAGCAGTGGCACCACAGCCCGGCTATGAGGAACTTCAAAAGAGCCCTCATGGAGGAACAAACCATTCCCAGGCAATCAGGGACTCAGCCCACTCACACACGGGATGAGGTGCAGAGGATAGCTCTGCTCCCCACTTACGTGCACACAAACACGTTTGACCCTCAAAGCTGCTCGGGCTCTCCCCAGGCACTGCTTGACTCAACACTTTTATTTACAACATGACTGCCAGGAGAAGCTGTGGCTGCCCCATCCCTGCAAGTGTCCAAGGCCAGGACAGGGGCTTGGAGCAACCTGGGATACTGGAAGGTGTCCCTGCCCATGGCAGGGGGGTGAAATGAGATGAGCTTTAAGTTCCCTCCCAACCCAAACTATTCCATGACTCCAATTCCAACACAAAGCTTGATGCTATTCTCCCCCAAAATATAACCTTAATTATCCATGATGTAAACAGCCAGGAGTGTGAGGCTGCATTATATCCTGAGACTCTTTGGATCTCGGCTCCTGCCTGGGAGGTGCCCACCAGTGACCCCAGCAGCATCCCTATAGCAAGGGCACCACGATGCCACTAGTGTCCCTGCTGTTAGACACTCCCAATATCCCTTTCAAGCCCAGTTTCCTAGGAAAACTAAGCGTGTGGCTGTCCCTCCTCTCCCCAGGAATGCACTAGCAAACTTTGAGTTTGAAGCAAGGTCAAAGCTGAAGGGGTGGTTTGGCTCCTACCAGCCTGGGTAGGAATTCATCAGGAGTCAGAGCAGCACACACAGCCCAGGGTGCCAGCACACATCCTGGCTGCCCATCCACTGCTCCATCCCAGCCATAACCTGTGACACAGATCTCCCAGGAGCTCACAGGGGAGAAGGAGTTATTACAGCAGTGGGAAAGGGATGATCCAATGGAAATGAAGCCTTGGGATGGAATAACCCCCACGCTGCTGCTCCCAGAGCAGCTGATTTCAAGCGCACCACATTTCCAGGCTCACATATTTTTGGAGCCCACCCTGTGCTTCACAGAACAGAGCTTTTTCCAAGAAAAGCCCTTCCCAAAGCAGCTCCTCCATCTCAGCACCAGCATCCTCCTCCTCCTCCTCATTCCTCTCTTCCTCCAAGGCAGCTGCCAGCAAGGAAGGGAAGATGGCAACTGCAGAAGTCACTACAAAGCTTGTCTGCGGCTGATGCTTTCAGCTCATAAATTGCAGCTGTCCCATGGCAACGTGTCAAATGCATCGTGCACAAGATGCCACGTTCACACCATTATCCCCATCACAGTCCTCCCCACACCATCTGCTTGGAGCAGGGCCCCCTCAACAGGTGGCTGGTGGGACGGTAAGAGGAACCGTCAGCTTTTTAGGGGATCTTGCAGCACAGGATACACCGACTTTCTCCCAGATATCCTGCTGCCTGCTGAGGAACAGTCCCACAAGGAGATTCCCACTCACGAAGGCAGGCAAAGATGTCGTCACGACAAGCTGAAGATCAGCTGTTTGCTCCCACACGCTTCTGCAGCAGCTTGATGGGCCTCGGGGGAGGTCTGTGGCGTGGACCCAGCTGGGGATGAGGCCACAGGTCCCACCTGCCCTGCAGAGTGCCCAGGGGAATCCCCTCCACAGAATACAGGGACCTCCAGGACAGTTATATGAGCTCGTGCAAACACACTCCTCTGGCAGCTTTTTTTAACCTTTACCCTGTGGTTTGTTTGCACTCTGCTCAAATCAAGCCCAAAGAAGGGCAGATGTCAGCCTGAAATAACCACATACCTCTGCACCCTCCTCAGTGGCTTTTTCTGAGCACCACATGGCCTTGGGACTGAGGTTTATCTGAAGTTTGGAAACCATCCCCAAAGCCCACCAGCATCTCAGGGTACAGCAATGCGTGCTGGAGCCTGGAGACCCCGGGGAGGGGATGGGGGGTGAAGAGATGCTCCTGGTCATAGCTGAACAAGCTCCACCTCTGCTCCTGGCACCCCAGGATTGCTGGAGCACAGCCATCCTCCACCACCCACCCAGCCACAGGCTTGGAGAGGCAAACCAGCCAGGACTGCTGGCAGAGACCTCCAGAGATGAGATCTCCAGCCTTCCTGCCACTCTTCAATCTTTCCCAGACCTGCCTCTTGCTCCTGCCAAGCTCAGAGCCAGTTCTCTTCCCATGCATACACCCCCCCAGGCTCAGCATCTCTCTCTAAGGTCCCTTAGAGAGACACATCCTTTGCTGTTCCCTAGGTTGCCCTGCCCAATTTATCATCTTTTTTTTTTCTTTTTCCAAAACTAGTTCTCCTTTCTAAAAGCACATGGGAAGGAGGTTTCAGACTTTCCATTGAAACTGGCTTTTTCCTCCACCCGTTCTTCCCCAAAACTGTAATTCAAACAACTTTAATTGTACATTATTTTCCTTCTGAATTGCCCCTATGGATAATTTATCTTCTTTTAGTGTAGCTGTAGGGGAGTACAATCTTATCTTTCAGCTCCAGCAAGGCTGACAATTTCCTATCTTCTGATGCCTTCTACTCTTTACTATGTTGGGGCTTTGTTATAGAGTTGATTAAAGCAAAATTGCTTTTTGCTGCAATTTTACTGCAATCTAACCCAGAAATGCCCAAAGAATCACAGTCATCTTTCACAATGCTCATCTGTTCGCTGCTATAAAAGCCTTCCCCGCTCAGGCTGGAGCAGCTCAGATTCTGCACCAGCAGTAATGTTTGCCATCAATTAAACATCCCCTATTGACAGTCCTCGAGCTTTTGGAGGGGAGATACAGGACATACTCAGTCGAGCCCCTGGTCACTCACTGTTATCCCCATTGTTCGTTTTCTCCTACTGATAAAAAAATCTTCTCCTCATAAATTGCTTTTCTTTTAACGTGCGCATCCAGAAGCCGTTCCCAAGCCCCTCCACCGCAGCTTCCTCAGTAGCTCGTTTTTCAAAAGAGTCTGAAGGCCAAATGTCATCCCCAACACGCACACAGAGCCTAAAATCTGCACGAAAAATGCACACTTCTCCCAATTTAGCTCATTTCCGGGCCTTAGCAGGGCACAGAATCATGGAATATCCCAAGTTGGATCATTGGAGTCCAATCCTGGCCCTGCACAGGACACCTCAACACATGGCACCAAACAGCACAGCCCCAGCCCTGAATCCACTTCTCAGGGGTTGTAACAATATTTTTTGGCTGGTCTAGATGACTCTAGGATTTTGCTATCCCCATCCAGCTGGGAGAAAGTTTCTGGATCTGGTGCGTCACACCTCAGTTTTGGGAAGGTTTTCATGCTCCATCCCTCTTCTTCCAGCTCCCAAAGAGCCAAATGCATCAGGAAAATGGCCCTTTTCATTGCACTGCCAATGCCTTGGGGTCTCATGGGATGCCAGGAACACCCTACCTGTCAGCAGGGGACATGAAAATCCCAATGTCAGCCACCAGCACATCCCTCCTCATTGCTCAGACAGGAGACAGGGCCACCTACACGAGAGAACTTAATCCCACTCCAATAAAACCAGGCTGGAAGCCCAAGGTAGAACAGACTTATCCACATTCCAGCTCAAACCAAGAGATCTACTGGCTCTGAGCTTATATGGAGCAATGGGCAGAGGGTGTGGGTGGCTGGGGGTCCCACATGAAGCTGCTCAAGGCCCTTGAAGTCTATTTGTGCCCCCCTGGCTGAACCCATTCTTTCTCATGACTGTATTTATTTTGGGTGTCATACTCTCAAGGGAGAAGGGAGCCTCAGGTTTCACCAAATCACTTTGATTAAACCATTGCATCATTGGCTAAAATAAATGTGCCCCAGGGCAGTACAGAATTCTGATCAGACAGAGCCATTAAGGTTAGAGAAACCCATGTCTAATCTAACCTGCATCAGGCAAGACTAGGAAAACTGTATCCAATTCTACCATTTATCACACTGTAAAGGCTGGATAATACCTTTAATTTTGATTTAGCTGGTAAAGGATGACCCGCAGGGGATGTGGAAAACAAGCACCAGATAGAATAGATGCGATAACGAGCGGCACCACCCCGAGCAGCCTGTGCTGCTGGGGCTGTTGTTCGCCAGCTCAGCAATGACCTCCCGGCTGGGCCGTTCCCTCTGTTCACCCCCGCGCTGATCGCAGGCTCATTGTCTCCATTTCATTGGAATCCCCGCCGTTTAGGCAGATGGGTATCGGCGTTTCTGCCTGGCTGGGCTGTGCCCGGCGGGGCCGGGGCGGGAGCCGGCGGTCGATGCAGAGCCATGATAGCTCAGCTGCCATCGATGGCCGGGCACGGAGCTGCTCCAGCCCCACCCGGGAACGAGTGCCCCCGAGGGCACCTGAACGGGGGTGTTCCCCCACGGGCCCAGGAGGGATTCACAGAATTGTGGAATCACGGAATATTCTGAGTCAGAAGGGACCCATCAGGATCATCCAGTCCAACTCCTGCCCTGCACAGACACCCCAACAATCCCACCCTGGCTCCTTGAGCTCTGGCAGCCTTGGTGCTGTGCCCATGGCCCTGGGGAGCCTGTTCAGTGCCCGACCAGCCTCTGGGGGAAGAACCTTTTCCAGATATCCAATCTAAACCTGCCCTGACACAACTTCAGGCCATTCCCTTTACCTCCCTCGGGTCACTGGATCCCACAGAGATCAGTGCTGCCCCTCCACTGCCCCTTATGAGGATGTTGAAGGTCCCACTGAGGTCTCCCCTCAGTCTCCTCTTCTCCAGGCTGAACAAACCAAGAGACCTCCACTGCAGAGGGCCAGGGTGGCACAGCCAAATATATCCTTGGGGGAAAAAAGGGACCACATGGCTCGCTGAGGTGTCCCTTGATGTACAAAACAGCACTTTGAGGACAGCACAAGGTCTTCTACCTCTTGAGGAACCAGTGCCTGCAGGCTGGGGGATAAGTCCTGGAGGCACTGACAGCCCCGAGCAGCCCCGCCTGGGATGGAATTCCCAGTCACACTTGCCCATGAGCTTGGGAGCCCATTTAAGCTCAGCCCAGGGCTGGTCCCAGTTTGAGTTGCATCTCTGGGGTGCTGGTCTCTAGTTTAGTCCCAGCTATACCTGCAGCTATAGACCCTATTGATGTGAATCCTGATCTAGACTGATTTCCCAGCTTGAGCTCAGCTCTGTTTTGTCCCCTTGGACCTGCCTAGGGATCACCTGGCTGTGGCTGCCCATACCAGGATTGATCCTGAGCTATGGATTGATTCCTCCAGCCTGCCCTACTGCTGTGAATGTGCAGGATGACAGGGACTCTTGGCTGACCCCAGCTGCCTCCTGCTCTCCTTACTCAGGTACCCTGGGACTGGTCCTTCCCTGCCAGCCACGGTGTTCCCTTTACTTCCCCATCCCGTTGGGAGCAGTGCCCTGGCACAACACCCCTGATTGCCGTGGGCACCCCCTTGTCCAAAACCAAGCTGAGTCCCCAGGCAAATAAAATGTGATGGGAATAGTCTGGCCTGTGGGGAGTAGCCCCAGGACACAGGGATGTCCCTGCATGGCAGCAAAAGAGCCCAAATCCCTGCAGTTGTGGCTCATGGAAGGTGAAGCTGAAGCCCAGCTGCAGGCACTGCCCAGCCTGGCTGGAGCGAGCCCTGTGCTAATCCATGGGTGCCACCTGCCGTCTAGTCCTGACGGATCACCCACAGCCTCACCTCTGCATCCCGAAAATTGCTCCACATGTTCAGGTTTTCCCCCGGGCCCCTCGGAAGCCCCCTGCCAGGACTCACAGCATGCAAGAGCAAGCTGAAGCGCAGGACAGCTGTCCCCACACATCCTGCCTGTGGCTGGATGGAGCTGCTCTCAAAAAAAGCAGCAGGATAATATCCTTTTCCTCAGGATAACGAGGTCAGGGAATGGCTCTTGTGTGTCTGTAACTGGAAACTAAGTTGTTGGACCCAGTTCCCTAAAAAATTGGGTGGAGAAAAACATTATGGTGTGGCTGAGATGGATGAAAAATCTGCAATTGAGAGAAATAATTTTGGGTTGGCTCAGGGGGAGGGGAGTTAAAAAAAAAGCAGTTTGATTTCTTTTTGTCCCTCTATCTCCTTTCCTGCAGAAAATAAGGTTAGACAAACTTCAGATTTCTGTCATAACAAAGCTGATGTCAAACATGATGATATTTCTCACTGGACTCCTTGTTTACATTACAAATCATCCTGACCAAAGTTACCCTTTCTGTCACAATGTTTGTTTTGCATGAAAAGACATTTCTGCTCAGAAATAACGAAATAAAAAAAAAAATCAAGTTAAAACATTTTGACCAGTTCTGACAGGAATATTTGGACATGTAGGAGGAGGATGGGAGATGGCTCAGAATAACCAAGCTGCCATTACCCATGGGGTTGAGATGTGTCAAGTCAGCTTTCTGCTACATAACAAAGCACATCTAGATTTTTTTTTTTAATTATTATTACCCTGAGATCTTTCTTTTCTTTTTTTTTTTAAATCCCATTTTTCTCTGGTTTCAGCAGCTTTTCCTTTGACTCTTATCCCTCAGAGCATGTCGCTCCGTGATTTGACAAGCTTTTCCTTCACCTCTCGTTCCTCAGAGTACTAATTTTGCAGTTTAATCTTTTTCTGGCTCTTCAGGATGAAAACTGGAAGGGTCACCTGTGCAGCACTTGCCTGTATGAGCCAGAGAGCCTTTCTGGTGACTCACCGTGGCGGTGTCACCATTGTTCAGTGGCTCCATTCTGTTATCTGATTAGGTTCATGTAGTTCTCCACCTGCCATTGTGCCTTTGGGGAGATTAATACACATTAATCACATGCATAAGGTCGGAGTTACCTTCTGGGATCGGTGCTTTCCCTGGCATGTCGCCCTCAAAGCATTAACTGATGTTATCCAGCATCTGCAAAAGGTGAGGTTTGCTGTTGGACCTCAGCGAGTGTTTGATGCTCTACCCTACGCTTTCAACTGGTAACAGGTTCCAAACAGGGTGACTGCAAGTGAGGCAAAGCTAAGAAATCTTTCCTTGTGAGGGTGGGGAGGCCCTGGCACAGGTTGCCCAGAGAAGCTGTGGCTGCCCCATCCGTGGAAGTGTCCAAGGCCAGGTTGGACGGGGCTTGGAGCAACCTGGTCTGCTGGAAAGTGTCCCTGCCCATGGCTGGGGGTGGAACTGGGTGATCTTTAAGGTCCCTTCCAACCCAAACCATTCTATGAAAACTTTCTTCAAGTCCCAAAGCATATCAATAAACACATGGAAATAACAGGGATCTCTTAAACAATTCCAGTTGCAAGAAGACAAGTTCAAAAGATTCCCCCACACACACAAAAAAAGGACGATACCTCTTTGCTACTCTCTGAGAACTGAAACTCTCTCCTGAATTTCCTGCTGATTATGGTGGTTTTTTTTCTTCCCCTTTGCTTGTTTTGTTTCCGAGATTTTCTGTCCTTGTGCTGAAGTCCTAAGGAATAAGCAGAGAATAATCCAAACTGAGATACCCCAGGTGAAAAGATGGGTCTTGACAGAAGCGAAAATGCAGGGATTTGGAAACTTTGCCATGGTCGAGTTTCCTCTGCCACTCATGAAATTAGGAATTGCCATGAGGAAATTAGGAACCACACAAGCCAAACACATCACCCATCAGCCTGCAAAGACTCAGTCTGGTGGAATAACAGGCCTTTCCTTACTACCAACCACTATGTTGAATCTACTGCTGGTGAATTCCTCCAGAAATCCCCTATAAATACAAGTTGTTGCAAGAGGATTCACTCATGCATGGCAGAACAACAGGTTTTTACCCTATGTTATGGTTGGATACCTGAGTATGGCAGGAATAGATCTTCTTTTATATATATATATAAAAGAATATATATATATAAAAGATCTGTGGGAATTTCACGTATGCCAAGAGACTCTTGAAGGCAACAGCAAGCTCTGGATCAGATCCATCAGCACATCTCCTGGCCATCGTCACCTTTTTGGGTTTCTTGTGTTGTATGTTCACAGCACGTGTGTTGATCACAAACCCACAGGTCAGCTCAGTGTGTGCAGCACCCTCGTTAACCACACTGGGGAACCAGCTCCATCCTGGCAGGGAGGCTCCAGGGCAGAGCAGCTGGGAGCAGGGCACCGTGTCCTGGCGCTGTCCCCGAAGGAACGCGAACCTGAGGGCTCAGTTATGCAACTGTGGGGAGAAGCTCCAGCTTCTCAGCGTGCTGAGCTGGTGACAGAGGGGAGAATAATCCTCCTGCTAAGTTGGGCCCAGGCCTGTGGCAGCGTGAGTCACCCTGAGCTGCCATGGTTACAGAACAAGTATTACTGTGCAGATCCAAAGCCTGCTCACAGAAAAGCACAGCGCTAACTAGTTCCAAACTTGGAAAACAGTCGAGTGTAGGTAAGGCCTAATACTGAGTGGGTGTTTGCAAGGAGGAGAGTTAGAGAAAAATCCTCCAGAGTTAATATTCAACTGGAAAAACAGCATGCATAGAGCAGGGAAGAAGGACACCGCTGTGCAAAGCCACGATTTCTGGATCCTTTTCCCCGTTTTGTCTGGTTTGCAAGGGCTACTGTCAGAATTGCTCCACAGAGGGGGATAAAAGAGGATGTTTCCACACCACAAGAAAACACACAGTAGTGTCACACAGATGAATCAGCTGGCACGAATAGTGAGTCATGGAAATGCACCATGGAAATTCTCCAGCGCAGTGGAATCTCTGATGCACATCAAATCCGGCATCCTTGGAGAGGCAGGGGCAGCCAGGATGACGTACGGCACCAGCACATGCCCAAAAACGCTCCTCACGCGTGACCTCAGCCCTGGGAAGCTGCAGTCACTAAGCCCACGATCCTCATCCAAGTCCTGAAGCGCTCGGGCAGTCAGTTCAGCAGGGTTTTCATGGAAAAGGTGTGTCTGATCCTTGTTTTCAGTGAGTCACAGCTGCAATAAAAGGACTTGGGGTCTGTTTGTTAACCATCAGCTGAGAATGACCTGGGCAGGGTAAAGGATCAGGGATACAAAGCCAGGAAATCAGGACAGTTTTGGATGTTACCACAATGCTGCACCCACCCCTCAGTCCACCCTGCTGTGGGCACATCTGGGCCTGAAGAGATCTCTGGATTGGAAGCTGAGGACTCTGCAGAAAGATGAAAATCTGGTTTTGAGGGATTTTCTGCTCTTCTTTTGTTTTTTATTTCCAGTATCCTCTGCTAGTCTGTCCCATTATCTCCTGCAAGCCTTGTATCTTCCCACCACCGGCACAGAACACAGCAACCACAGTGCAAGGAGCAACCTGTACGTGTGATTTATGAAAGAAAAGTAAGAGAAATCCCCCCCAAAGCTCATCTACAGCCAAGTTTCAGAATGCCTGGCTGGTCCAATGAGCCAGAAGTGAGTTTTTTGTGCTTTTTGCCCCCAATTCCACCACTAGCAGGGGGCAAACACCTTTGCTTCACGTGGCCTTGTTTTCCTACTTGTGCAAAACAGATGTGGCCCTTGAAAAAACACTTTATTTTATATGAAAGAGTAGCCGTGATGGATAGTGTTTAAAATAATTCTCGTCTTTTCTGGGTGTATGGCCCTGAAGCTGAACAATTTGGGATGGACTTCGGGTTACGCTGACACGCTGCAGTCCCTGCAGAGCAGCACATAAACTTCTAAATTATAAGTTACGAGCAGAGCTCTTGCCCTGTGCTTGCAAGTATTGTAAGCCCACGAAGAACAGAAGCGAGGAGTGTGGTGCTCCCGCACACCGCAGCTGGAGGGCTCTGCCACGGCGCCCCAGAGGGGATGGATCTCTCTCAGAGGCCACGGATCCCTCAGGCGGGCTCCGCCATGGCGCCCCTGAGGGGACGGCAGCCTCAGGCGAGGCAGGGGCAGCTCTCCGCCGCCCTGGCGTCTCTCTCCCGCCGCCGGCCCGGGAGCTCGGCGGGCAGAAGGAGGCAGGGGTTGGAATCCGCGATGGGGCTGAGGCGGAGGGGTCGAACCGCGCCATCATGGCGGCGGGGCCGGGCGGGGTCGGCGGTGACACCACCCCCCTCCCTCCCGCTCCCCTCACACCCGGCGCCGCCCCCGCCCCCGGCAGCTCTCGCGAGAGCGGGCGCTGCGCTGCGGTAGGAGGTCGGCGGAGAAGGACGGACGGAGCCGCCGCCGCTCCCGCCGCCTCACCCTCCTCTCCTTCCTCCTCCTTTTCCTCCTCCTCCTCTTGCCCCTGTCTCAGGAGGATGCCGCGCTCCGGGCCGCTGCCCGCCGCCTTCTCGCTGCTGCTGGCGACGGCCGCGCTGCTGCCGGGACCCGCCGCGGCGCAGAACGGTGAGGGAGGGCGGCGGCGGGGGGGGGGGGGGGGGGGGGGGGGGGCGCGCGTTGCTATGGCGGCGGGGGGGCTGAGGGCAACCCCGGGGGTGGGAGGGTGACCCAGGGGTTTGGGGGGATCCCTGTGTCTTGGGGTCCCTCAGGGGAAAGGGGAGAAAGGGGTGAAAGAGGAGAAGGGGGGGCTGGCGCGTTCCCCCCCCCCCCCCCCGCCCCGGCTCCTCCTGAGGCGCCTCGTGCCGCCGGTAAAATGGAACATCTCCTCATCTCCTCCCGCCTACTGAACCTGCATCTGCCGGGCCGCCTTAAATCATTTATAATGCAATAAACCCCGTAGTTCCTTAGCAACTGGAGAGGTCCTTCTGATAGGAGCGTAAAAGAAGGAATTAAAAACCGGCGAAACGAGAAAACAGCCCACCACACCCCAAGCCTTGTAGGATAGCGTGAGCTAAATCCAGCGCGGTGCCTCCTCCCGGTGAGTTCGCAGCCAAGTGCATGACAATTAGTGGCAGAGCGGAGCGGGGCCAAGAGGCTGGTCCAGCCGAGCCTCCTGCTCCAAGGAACATCCTGCAGCGCTGATGGAAATGCCTGTCTGATCCTGCCAGGCCAGGCGGGAGCCGAGGCAGGGTCTGTCTGCTCCAGGGCTGCTCCAGCACCGGCCCTTTGGAGCGGCTTCTCTTGCAGCATCATGGTCAGGGATGCTTTGGCCTGCAAGTGAGGGGAAGGGCAGGGATCTTGGCTCACGGGAGACTGATCTATGTCCATGGGGAAAATTTGTCTAGAAGGAAAGATTACCCTGCTAACACACCAATTCCCCACTAGTTTTCGTTGTTTCATCCTTCTTTCTCTGTCATTCCTTTCTGCTCTGCGGATAATATTCAGTCCTAGCGTTCTGCTTTTTGTTGAGGTGGATTTTGCCTCCAGCATGAGGTTAGCTTCCTCTGCTCCTTGCTCTAGAGGAATCATAGAGTCATGGAATCGTGGAATCACAGGCTGCTTTGGCTTGGAAGGGACATTAAAGCTCATCTCGTTCCACCCTTTGCCATGGGCAGGGACACCTTCCACTAGACCAGGTGGTCCCAGATTAAATTTTTGCCTTAGTAGGTGCAGATTTTGCAGTCTGAAACCAACTGAGCTTGTCTGCCTCTGTTAATTAAGCAGAAGCAGCTTTGGCATCCCCACTGTCTGAATGAAAACTGGAGGCTTTCTCTAGAATGAAGCACTTTTTTTTGTGGAGCCTACAAGAGTGTGGGAAAACCCTGCTGGAGTTCAGTGGGAATTAGGGACCTGGCTTCTGTGAGCTCCCAGGGAGGTGCTCATTGGGATGAGTTGTGGATGAAGTGTGGGTCTCTGTTGTAGACACCTTTCCTGTGCCACCTGAGCATTCTCATCGCAGGGTGTGGTGTGTTTCCACACAAATTCCACCCTTGAATTTGGGTTTTCTGACAAGCAAGTTAAAATGGGTCATGTGCCTGAGGCTGTTCTTGTGCAGAGTTAGCAGGCAAGGTGTTAAATGCCAGCAGCTGGGATAGCAATTCCAAATGGCTGGTAGGCAGTGCAGACATTTGGTGTTTGACAGGACTTAGATGTCTGGAGGTCAACGATCAAATTTTGGGCGTAGATGGAAAGTGTCTTTATCTTGACTTCCACGCCTGGCATGAAGCTGACCAAGAGTAGAAGATCTTGGCGTGAGGGAAGATTGCAGATCACAGGTGTGTCCTGGAAGCTCCTTAATTTTTGTTTGGTAAACGAGGGTCATCCAGACAATGAAACGGTGAGGGAGCCTCTGAGTATCTGTAATTCTGTAGGAGCTTACACAGGTGAGTGAAAGTCTGCTTGGGAAGGAGTAGAGCACTTCAAAGCAAGTGAAAGGTGGAGATCCTTCTGACTAAGGTTTTTGGCTCCTGTTGAATCTTTACCCCAGTTTTAATTTAAAGATTTTAGGCCCTGCTGCAGAGGAACTGGTTTCTTTTTCAGCAAATAATAACCCATGAGACACATCATGAAACAGAACAATTCCTCTTTGGCATGAAGGATAGGTACAACCATTTCCTGACTTGTGTCTATTCCTTGTAAGTCATTAGAAAAATGGTGCTGTGGTTTGAATAGGGTTGTGCAAGTCTGTCGGTGACATCTTTAAAAACAAAACTTCTCCCACACACGGTGCTTTGAAGGTGCAGGGAAGGATCCCAAAGTGCATATGCAGAGTTTTGTTATCTATTATTGATGTGGAGTTGTCAGTGTAAGGAAAGGTGATAGTCCAAGTGCTGTTGAACCCTGTGAGTTCAGGATGATAAAGGAATGGGCATGGACCTGTTGGAACTGCAGGGCAGGTCACCACTCACCTGGCACAGAAAATGCCCAGTGGAATCCTGAGGGTTTGTGGTAAACAGTTTTTTTTTTCTGCCTCTAGCAGGAGATTGCTGTTGAATTACCAGTGATTTTTCCAGAGTTAATGTAATTCAGAATATATTGAGTCAGCCTCACCTATGGATTTGAGCTTACTAAACTGAAAGTAGGTTTTTGACACTTGTGTGGCTTATTTTTAAAGCTCTTGCATAAACACCTAAAGGGAAAATGTGCTTGTCAGAAACTGAACTTTTCCTGAAGGTTCTACTGAGAAAACTGTCAGGTTTGTGCTGCACACTGGCTCATCCCCTGGATCCAGAGCAGAGTTCAGGTGAAGTGACAGAAAGGAGGGTTGGAAGAGAGGAAACATGACAAAGAACAGCTGGAAAAAGCCAGTCTGTCAAGCAGATCTGTGTTAAACCCATAGTTTCCAGTTGGTAGTTGTTGGAAAATCACTTCAGTGCTCCAGAGCAGGCAGACAGCATCCTGGTTATGGAGTGGTGCTTGGCTGTTGGCTAATGAAGAACATGACTTTTCCAGTTGCTGGTTTTTAACCTTAGCAATATCTTTATTTTTAAGCAAGCAGTTGGAAAACCAAAGACTTCAGTGTAGTAATAATTTCACCACAGAGTGCTTGGGTTTTAAAGACTGTTTTATCATCTGAAATAGATGCTTGGGCTGCTCCCCATGAAATCTGCAGTGTCTCTTCAGCACAGCAACATGGGAGTTCAATTCTTAGCAAGTTTTCTTCCCTTTTCAAGAATTTCTGGCAAAGCACAGAGAATTCTTAACCGTTCTTGAGGACTTAAAATTGCTTGGGTTATTCAAAGCTGGACATAAGTGGAAATAAAACCAAATTAAGTTAGGTGGTGCTGGTTTAGTTCTGTTCTCTTCATCCTCTGCTTGGATGAAGGAGAAGGAACCGACTCGCTGGCTAAAAACAGAACACACCAGGATAGAAATGACCATAAAATCAGGCAAATTAGCTCAGTTAATTCTTAAAATTAGTTTCTTCTTAGAAGAGCAAGTGAGAAACCTTCCTGTTATCCTTGCAGTGCTGTTTCTGACTGCTGCTTTTCACCCATATCATAGAATCATAGAATCGATTGGGTTGGAAAAGACCTCTGAGATCATCGAGTCCAACCCTTGGTCCAAATCCAGTCCCTTTACTAGATCATGGCACTCAGTGCCACGTCCAGTCTGCATTTAAAAATCTCCAGGGATGGTGAATCCACCACCTCTCTGGGCAGCCCATTCCAATGCCTGATCACTCTCTCTGTAAAGAATTTTCTCCTGATATCCAACTTAAATTTCCCCTGGCAGAGCTGAAGCCCGTGCCCCCTTGTCCTATTGCTGAGTGCCTGGGAGAAGAGACCAACCCCCACCTGGCCAGAACTTCCCTTCAGGTAGTTATAGATGGTGATGAGGTCACCTCTGAGCCTCCTCTTCTCCAGGCTAAACAACCCCAGCTCCCTCAGCCTCTCCCCATAGGACTCATGCTCCAGTCCCTTCACCAGCCTTGTTGCTCTTCTCTGGACCCGCTCCAGCCCCTCAATGTCCTTCCTGAACTGAGGGGCCCAGAACTGAACACAGTACTCAAGGTGTGGCCTCACCAACGCAGAGTACAGGGGAAGGATCGCACTGGTTGTGTTCTGACGTGATTTTTAATGGTCCCCAGATAAAGCTGAGGAATGGTTTCAATACAGCATTTTTGGAGCAGGAGTGTGGGCTGAGCATCGAGGAGAATGTTCAAAGTTCTGTTCTCCTCCCCACCATTGCTATTCTCCTTCCTCCTACAACTCCCTCATAGGAAACTTAACCACAAGCAGTGTGACTAATGTGTTTATCCTTGGAAACTGCGCCGAGTTCCACCAGATCTCAGGGAACAGGTAAAGAGGCGATAAGTGCCGGTACTGACATTCCAACAGACCACTGTGTGAAGACTATATCTTGCTAAATTCATGAATGGGGGGCACTTGTGCCTTCACAGTGAGCTGTTTCTTCTGCTGCAGGTACTATTTTAGAGGAGTCAGTTGTAAAGACTTGCATTGTAAAGGACAATGCAACCCCTGTGATTCATCCTCAGGTTGTAAAGCCGGAGTGTTCAGGCTCTTCTTAACTTCCCGCAGCTCCCACTGTTAAGATTCAAAGTTAGATAAACTGTTCCTGCATATCTAGTAGCTGGAAAGTTCTCCTGTAAATCTAATCTAAACCTGCTTTCCTATCTTTTAACTTCTATTCTTTTTACCCATGCAATTCAGAGCAGGGAGGAGGGTGTTGCCTTTCTGTCCAGGTCAATTGTCAGGGCGGTTTTTGGTAAGTTGTCTTTTCCTGGCTGTTCCCGATCGTTTCTG